CTTCCAGTGGACACGTCTCTGTCCTCCTCTTACTTGATCGATCAGCAGCATTCAGGACAGTGGATTATTCCCATCTCTGAAAACAGCTTCCCCGGGCTACCAGGACACCCCACTTCTCATCTTCCTCCTCCCTGCCTGAGACTTCTCAAATGCGAGTATTGGGTGCTCAGCCCTCTTTCTCTTGTCTGTCTACATCCTCTCCCTCGATGGCCTTAGAGTGTCATTTATGCACCAACACCTTCCAGTTTATATACCCATCTAAGACGGCTTATCTCAACTCCAAACTCGTACCTCCCACAGCCTCTTTGGCAGTGCCACTTGGATGTCTCATTAACAAGCCCAAAATCAACCTCCTGATTTCCCCTTTCTCCTCCTCTTCCCACCCCAAGAAAAACCTGCTCCAGTCTTTCCCCCCGCAGCAAATGTCCACTCCATATTTCTATTTGCTGAGGTCAAAACACTTAGAGTCTTCCTTGACTCTTTTCTTTCTCTTATAACCTACATCATATTTGCCAACAGATTCTACTGGTTCTACCTCCGAAATATATCAAGAACTCCACCACATCTCACCACCTCCCTCACTAACCACATTGCTGCTCTAAACCACTGCATTTATTGCACAGATGAAAGGGTTGATTCCCTACGTTGACTCCCAAGTCCACTCTGGCTACCGTCAGTCTATGCTCAACACAAAGTCCAAAAGGATCCTCTGAAAACATAATTCAAGTTTCACCGTTTGTCTTCTCAGATTATCTGAATGACCGTTTTACTCTAAATGAAAATCGAATAGTGTAACGGCTTTATCAGAATTCTATAACAGGAAAGTTACCTAGAATTCTTTCATCATAACAAATAGAACTGCTTCCTTGTAGCCACATTTCTGTGCTCATTGTACACATGCCTAAATGTTTTGACATCACAATCACACTATGGATGTGATACTGTCCTCTGCTTTTTACAATTGACATAATAACATAATCATTCCCCATGTACCATATTTACTATTAAGTGACCATGCTAAGGAGGCAATCAACATCTATTTATTCTACTTTTAGATATTAAAATTATCCATCATTATAAATGAACATCTTTACTCATATAGCTTTTAATTTCTTTTGCCTTATAAACAAGATAAATTATCAGAACAATTACTGGGACAAAGGATATCAAATTGCTTTTCCAAACGTTATTGTATCAATTTTTTACTGTCACAAACTGTATGTGATTATGTCAGTAGGCTACCACATCACAAGCATCTCCTTTTAAAAATGCTAATTTAATCACTGAAATGGTACTTTATCCTGTTTTTAATTTCTTCCATTATTTGTAAGACTCTAAATATGTGTGACCCCTAATATTTTCCTTTTGACCTGGTATATGAGAAAGTGCAAAGTTAAAATGAATGTCCAATATATCAATGCTTTGCTAGTACAGTTATGTAATGGATACACTGACATTCCTGCTCCATTCCAATTCATTAGCTGGCCCATACTCTTTTACTTTTCTCCTAATAGTTTTACTGCATATTTACTTATTTTTTGAATTGTCTAAATCCTTCTTAGAGTTAGGCGGATACAGGCACCTGTGCCACTGTTAGCATAACGTTACTGAAAATGCCTGTACAGTCAGTGCCTTGACCTACAATATGAGCAAGACAGAATTTTTGATATTGTCAAGATTCTCACCTTAATTCAAGGTTTCCCAACTTTGGCACTGTTAACCTTCTGGGTCAGGTAATTCTCCACTGTGGGGGCTGCCTTGTGCTTTGGAAGATGTTTAGCGGCACCTCCAGCTCCAACCCTCTAGAGGCCAGTAGTATCCTCCCAACCTGTCCCCAGTTGTGAAGACCAAAAATGTATCCAGACATTGACAAATATCCCCTGACGGACAAAATAGCCCCAGTTGATAACTGGTGCCTTAACTAAAGGCTTTGTGCTCAAAGTGAGTCATAGGTTATGTGCCAAACCCAAATCTCAGGCCTAGCTTGTGCTCAGACAGGCTCAACGGCACCTTCAGAGCAATGCGCGGGCTGCCCACCACCTGCTGGCCTCGACTTTCCCCCACACTTCCCACAGACCCAGAGCCTTGCTAAAGAAAATTAGAAGTCATCTTTCAGTCCATCTTCCGAGTGAATTCGGCTCTCTCAGATCCAGCCTCTGCACAATTATTACTACATATCAAACCACTAGAAAGAAGTGTTTGAAAATACAAATTAAACTGAAAAACAGTTTTGTAAACTTAGGCATTCTGTCTCTGAAGACTAATTTTCAAACTTGTTAAGATACTTACCGTTAAAAAACTGGAACCATAAGAAGAATCTACAATAAAGAAGATTTAAGAGACATTAATTTCATCAGTGAAAACGTAT